ATAAGTGGTTAAACGTGTCTTCAACAGCCACGGTGGTCTAGCGGTTAGAACGCTGGCCTTGTCATCCTGGGGCCTCGAGTTCTATTCCCGGCGGTGCCCGAATTTATAACTTGTGTTGGGCAAGGCCGTGGTCTAGGCAACACGGAGTTTTCCTCCGGGGGCTTCCCCGGTTTCTCCGTGGCATCCCAACAATTACTCCATTCACACACAGAAGAAGGCAATGGCAAACCACTTCTGGATCATCTGCCAAGAACGTATATGAACAGGTCCCAGTCCGAGAAGAGAAAAGGATGGCAGGATCCTGTTCATATGGACCTGTCCTCAGACAGAACACTAAATAATAATAATAATAAAACGTGTCTTCATACCCATAATTCCCATTACTTTTGTTCGGCGTACAGATGCTTGCAGACCCTCATTGTTCTTCTTCGGGGCAGGTCGATTCCCCGTTTCGGATTTACCATGAAAATTTGAGGAGTTTTTTTTTCAGGATTAATTCTAAGGACCCTTATTCGAGAAAAAAGGAAATATTTTTTGAGTGCAATTTTATGTTCTCACGGCGGCGGATATGAAAATAACGTGTCTTCAGGAACTTTGGCACCATGTAGTCTGGTGAATGTTTACCGACGTCTCAGAGGTTCTTACTGCCTCCGTGCACGGCTTCTTCAAAATGATTTTCTTCGTTTTTAAATGAGTAGGTATCCTGTATTTCAATTTGGCCAACTTAAAACTTTCACAATGGCGCCATATTAGTAATATTATTAAATAATATATATATAGCCCAAAATTTTTCTTTGTAACACCGTACCAGATGATTTTCATTTAGTGAACAGTATATAATATCCAGATGCTTTTCATTTAGTGAACAGTATATAATATAAAATCGATATCCCCTTGAGTTTCTGCTGTTCTCACAACGGATTTCGATAAAATGCAGATTCAGTGGAGAAGAAAGAAAACATAAAATTAATGGCGTGTCCTTGCATTTTGGTGAGGACTGTGAGAATTATTATATACATTAGATTGTAATTTTCTCCCGGCCTCTTGTGGATACGGCAGTAAATCTTCGGTTTCCATAAAAACCTTGGAATGTTTGGAGCTAGCTGAGCTACTACCGTCTTGTCGACGGGACTCTTCCACGGGGGAGGTTAGTTTAGATTTCCTCTATCAAGACTTTTGTTATTCCTGGGCCCTCATTTGACTGTCTACGTGTGCGGGATACAGACTGGCGCACAGTTCAGGAAGTAGCTGATGAGTTTTAGGAAGAATATTAACTGATGCGATTCGGGTATATCATAAACTAGAAACGTAGTATAAGATAAACGAACATTAAATATGTTCGCCTTTGACGTTAATTACACGAATGTTTATCTTATTATATAGAAAAGGTTTATTGATTTGAATTCAGAAGCCGGATTTGCTTTTGAACTACTTTTATCACTAAAATCATTCTACAATTTCCGTTGTCACCTTTTCCGCATGCTACAACTTTTGTTCTTCCTGCTTGACTCGGTTGTTGGTCTACCTATCTCTCGCTTCGACCGCCCGTATTAAACACACGCCATATAGCAGTCTGATAATTGTATTATCCGATTTGATGTGTTCTCTGCCCTCTCCTGTGTCCCTTGGTTCGTTCATTCCAATAGCACGAGCTGACTTTGATTAGAGTCCTGGAAACATTGAACTGGGACGACGTGACAACGCGTCTGTTAAAGGAAGGGGCGATGTGGACGCAGGCAGGTGTTTTCCTGTTTCTCCTAGTCACACAGCTTGGATAAACAAACACCGATCATCCACTACTTCTGTATTATAGGTATTCGTTGGTGTAATTTAAATTTTACGAATCTGTTCCATTTTCGCTTTGTTCTCACAAGGAATTCTGTGGGATCTTGTAACTTACGGATCTAAATTTAAGTAAATATAATTGTACGTGTTTTATTTGTGTGCAGAACGCGTTATGAAATTATAGTGGAAAAACGTAAGATTAAAAGTTTTTAAAACTTGGATCCTGAGGATATGTTTCAATTCAGGAAAGAGGAAGCAACGGAAACTTCAAGATATTACACAGGAAGCTTCATATTCGGTAATTTTAATATTAGTGTGTTTAAATGAAGGATGATAAGCTATTTTGCTTGGAAATTTTCTTAAGCGAAAATACAATTTAATACTCGCGTTAGTTTGACATTTCTCTAGAAAAGCAGTGGAATTCGGATTCCATAAAAGCGGTTAATTCATTGACCAATTGAGCAGTCGAGTTTTTAGGAAAGGCTTAACACCATTAAATTAGTTTGTTGTGGCTGTAGGTATGGTCTTCGACCACCCACTTTGCGGTCGTACGGTAGGAATCCACTGTATCCAGAAGATTTTCCGTGCAGGGACAGAATGTGAAGATGAAGAGCGCTATTTTCATGTTATCGACGCTGATTCAATTGCAGTGGTCGTGTGGAATCCAGTGAAACTTGGGGACGGTAATTATTATCAGTTATTGCGCGTATTTTCTTGCTTGTGTGTATAACATGAACGCTTATAAAGTGATTCCCCCGATGGTTGAGGCAGTAAGCACCTCTGAAAAGTCGGGTCATCTTCTACAAAACGACATTGATCTAATATATTATCTCTAGAACTGAATCCAATAAAAATGTATGCCTAAGAATGTAGATCAGTATTAGGTATTTCAGAAATGATATATGAAATATATTGGACTTGAATTCAGGACGGGTGTCGTCAAAGAACGGAAGAACTAACTAGGAATCAAATCGACTCATTTTGAGGCATGCTTATCACAGTTTTAATATTTGGTTCATTGTATAATACATCTGTGTTTAAAAGTACAGCACTGCTAACTTTATTATGAATTGTACAAACAGTCGTTCGTGTGTATAATTGTCTTGTCATACATGACGCACGCCTCCCTGGAAAATGTATCAATTATCGTGTCTGCTGTATACTCCTGTCTCTCTTCATTCCTTTTAACCTCTTAGTCTGTATTGTTCGGGATATTTTTAATGAGGTTGCATGAGCACTATTCTGCAGCTTCTATACATTCAGCAAAGTGCGGTTACCATGGCAACCACTCAAAAACAGTGATGCGTGTAACCACGGTATATATCTTTGTTCTTTTATTACGCTAGGGAAATTTCAAAAGAGTTGTGTATATTTCTTTTATTGTTTTCTGCGTTGTGGGAACGTCAAACCCTGCTGTAATTTTAAATAGTGTCGTATTTTAGTAAACATTTTATATGGCCTTTAATGTGGACTGTAAATTACGTAATTACACACTTTGCCTGGTCACCTTCACTAACAATACCGTACGAATATACAGTTTCTTATACAAATTTGCGGAACACCTAAAGTCTTATGACGGCACGTGGAAAGCTTTCTGTATAACAGAATTATTTGACTAGTTGAGCAACTGTCAGCTTTGAAAGACTCTGCTTCACGGTGATAATTAGTTGTTGTATCCGGATATTGGACTCAAATCAGTCTTTGCTAAGTGTCTTTTTTGGGTAATTTATTAATTATGCAGTTCCTTGATTATAAATATGCATGGATGGGTCTACGTGACTTAACAACTAACACTCGACTTTAAAAGCTATCCGGCTTTTACTAATTTTGCTTCCGGTTTCTCCAGATCTGTTTGTTTTACTGTGTTGGGTTTAATATATCATGTCTTAAGCCACAAACCTCTGAGCTTCATAAATCACGTATCGTCTTTAAAATGTCTCCAAAATGCAGTTCACCGTACCACTTACAGCCGCTTTTAAATTACAGTAATAACATGTGACCTAAATTTCGATGTACAGCTTAATTTCTGAACCAGCCCTCACTCATGTCGTGACTACAGAGCGGCTCTGTCCAAATTTTTTTACCAAAGTAAGTTGCAGCAGAAAGACGAGTCAGTAGCTTCTTCGTGATAGGGCGATTAACTTTTCTTTAACATTTCTTTTTGGAGGTGCGGCGGTCTCATGTGCCGTGTCGTTTCGGTGTTTAAATTACTCGTGTGAATATAATTATTTAAAATCTGAGTTCTTTGTCACGTTCCACTAACGTAAACTGTATTTGAGTGAACATCATTGTATGTGTGTGGAAGATACGAAGAGAAGTAATTTTTGCAAACAAATGAGCGTGGGAAGACTTGAAAATTGGCGTAAAATATGTTATCCTCTTCTTAATAGCTATGTCTAAAAGTATACATTAGGTTACATATACCGCAATGGAGAATTGATTACGATTCAAATAATGACTCGAGCACACAACTAAATTCGGTTACAATATCCTTGTTTGGTAATTTGTTCGCTATGATACAGTAGTCTAATTGAGACCACCAGACAACAAATTATGTATTGCACTTTCTCGGCTAAGATGTCATTAGAATAAAGCATGATATAAACTGCAGGAATGAAGCTGTCTGCCCCTCCCTTAAAAGTGAGTCCTATTGCAGAGACATTTAAATGATTGGGTTTATTCATACATTATACAGAATAGTTTGTATATTGTAATAACAGAATTAATTACTCAAGATTTTAGGTTCTCACAGCGGTTGTTCGGTATAAATTGACCGACGTTGTTTGTTAAAACGAATGATTGAGTGGTATGCATGAACTTTTTGTGGTAGCAAAATTTTGGGAAACTGTCGTCTTTTATAACCTGGCATTCCGCGAGCCAGTAAGCAAAGCTGATGTGGCCCTCGTCATAAAAGGTTGAGAACCGCTATTTCAAAGTTGCATTAATTTCGCTATGCACTGAATGTGTTTATAAAAAATGTTAGGTTGGTCGATGTTCTGGTTTGTAACGCTGTAAGTATGGAGACAGCGTGCTTCTCTAAAACGCTGGTGTCTACCCACAAGTGCACACGACGTTTCAACCCAGAAGTCCAGCATCGATATCTTCACCGTAATTGAAACCCAATCTTATGCTGAATGTCGACGGTAATTAATTACCGTTGAGGTTGCCACGTGGTTGATTGACTTCTGGCTAATTTGTGATTCTCGTTATTGCAGATGGTCACTCGAACGAAGAAGATATTTGTGGGTGGGCTCTCAGCACCAACGACGCTAGAAGACGTCAAGAATTACTTCGAGCAGTTTGGACCGGTGAGTACTCAGATAAACGTGTTCTTCCGGTTGTGAAACGTGTTTTCTTACCACATTAATTACTGCCTGTAAAGTTTTATCTTTCTATATGATGTGAAGCTTCCACGGCGCCTTTCATTAATAAAGTCTTCTCGGACTATCAGCCGTGTTAGATGGTGACCAATCGCCGACGTTTCGAGGACCATCTCTGCCCGAGAAGAGTTTATTTTCTCTTTCTGTTTTCGGTATTTATGTCATACGTATCAGGATACAGGGGGATGCGGATCATAACCAGTTTCTGGCATTCTTGTACAGATATCGATAGACTAGTAGAAGTCTGACGTTTCTATGCTAACTGGTAGCAACGTAATGGAGAAAGGAACAGAAAAATTATTGGACTTCAAAAACCTCGTCATTGAAATACAGGTCGTATGAAACGTGAATGATAATACCGATAATTATTGGTGCTGCTGGAAGCTTATTACGGTGATTTCGAAACATTTTGAATGCTATTCTTCGTAAACATTACGTAACATCTTTAATTTTATCATGTTTTCCATATTTCGCCTGGGATTTTGACAGGTACTCTGCAACATGATGTGATGATGGTGATGTTTGCAATAATTAAATTAAATTGTTTTAACGTGTTAAATTGACAGCTACCGATGCCAGTTACAGAAAGAGACAATACATTAATGAAATAAACGTGGTAAATTATTCTAGTACACATTAAGTCTGCGTAATAATGCTGAAGGTACTTTAATCGATTTAATCATAATGACGATGATGATAATTTTCAAACGTGTATGACGAATTCAATTAATTTAATAGAATCTAAATAAAATGTGGGGAAGGGAGAAAAGAGGTGGTGATTTTATGGAGTTAATAAACCAATGGAGCCTTTTGGAGCATTTTGATGAAGATTTGTACCTTTTCGGTTACAGAGTGTCGAATGGGATTACTAAAT